GCAGAAGATTCGCCCTGAGCTAACATCTGTTGCCCATCTTCCTCTATTTTGTATGTGAGTCGCCACCACAGCATGGCTGATGAATGGTGTAGGTCTGCACCTGGAATCCAAACCCATGAACCCCGGGCTGCTGAAGCAAAGTGTGCCGAACTTAACCACTAGGTCACAGGGCCGGCCCCAAGATTCTTTTTTGTAGTTACGTTTAGTTACATACTGTTTTTCCAGTAAGATTTTTTTTTTAAGTTTTTGCCTTTCACATAGGTTTAAGTTTTTGCAAACTGGTATTCACCTTCAAGGTGATACTCTTTTAAAGTTTTGCGTGGCCAGTGTTAACCCATTTCTAGTAAATATTTATTGATCTGCTCTTTTGGCATTTTTGAAAACCTGACTGTACCTTGTTAGTATCTTATAATTACTAAGGCCAGCTGGAGGGCCCATCTCCTAAGGGAGGCAGGATTAAGTCTGCATGGTTCCTTTGCCTCTTTAGAATCTGAGGTTGGTTCATCATGAGGAGCCCCGTCTTCTTCTTTCTGCCTGGCCCCATTGCTGATTAGTCCTTCCTGTTTTGGGTACTTAGTTCTTATTTCTGGGATTGCTTGGTTTATCCTGTTTCCCCAGGTTTCTTTTTTCTTGCTTGTGTGAATGTATACAAGTATATATCCCAAGAATACATCTATACTTTATGACTAGTCATATAATTAATAGAAAAAAACAAAGTACTTATTTTTATAACTAAAGGCTTAAACATTGCCTTCTTTGTATTACAACCGTTTTCTAATTACTTTGTATTAACTTTTCTATTTTGAGTATGAAACTCATGGTTTTTTAAAATTCAAATTATTTCATATAGCAATAATAATTTTTACAACTTGGCCAGCAGGAGCCAGAGTCATCTGATTTTTCCTTCAGAGAGGTGGGAATAGCTCAAATTCTAAATGTCCAAAACTGTACTTAGTAGCTTTCCCCCAAACCTGCTTTTCTGTTGCTCATCTCTGTGAATGGTACCATCATCCACACCGTTACTCAGATCAGTGACCTGGGAGTCATCCTTGCCTCTTCCATCACCCTCAGCCTCCACTTCCAGTTAGTCTGTTGTCTATTCTTAATATCTCGACAGTAGTTCCCCTTTTCTCCATTTCTGCTGCCACTACTTTCGTTCAGTTCTTCATCATTTCGTGCTTAATTTATGTAACAGTCCCCTCACTGGTCTGCTCAGCTCCATTCTTGCCCTCCTCTAATCCCATTCTGCCACAGCTACCCAGAGAGTGTGACCACCTGTGTCAGGGGTCCCCAAGATCACCCCACATTCAGGGGTTTACTAGAAGGACTCAGGACTCGGCCTGTAGTTGTACTCATAGCTAAGGTTATGACAGCGATCTTGCAAGGATACGCAGCCAGATCATAAGGAGAAAAGATAGGTGGAGTCTGGAGTAATCCATATGCAGCTTTCCTCATGCTCTCTCCCTCCGGTGAGGGGGCACACAGAGCACATCCTCCTCCAGCAACAAAAACACAGCAACGTGTGTGTGAGGTTTCTGCCCAAGGAAGCTCATTAGAGACTCAGAGCCCAAGTTTTTTATTCAGAGCTGGTCATGTAGGCACCCTCTGTGTAACACACACCAAAGTTCCAGACCCTCTAGCAGGAAAGCAAATGTTCAGCATATACCACATTGTTTGCACAAGTAGTTTGGGCATAATTGGCCACCCTTATCTCTAGGGGAACCCTCCCAAAATCGAAGTTCCCAGGCCCCAGACAAGGGCAAACCTTGCCAGAAGACCTTCCTAAGAATAGCAGTCTAGGGTCTGCTATAACTTTTCTGCATACCACCTTTCCTCCCTTCCTGTTATTTTTCCCATACACCAAAGTAAACACATACTTTTGTTAAAAAAAAATCGGAATATAAAGAATTGTAAGAAATAAAATAAAAATCACTTGTAATGCTACCACTCAAATTCCATTTACATTTTAGTATATATTCTTCCAGTCTTTTCTGTACATAGGTGCATGCACAAATATGTAATTTTAAAATTATGCATTCTTCACTTACTGTTGTGTGAATTTCTTTGTTTTTTTTTCTTTAGATTTTTTTTTAACAAAGAAAACATTACAAAGTTGAAGTCTCCTGGGTATCCCTTCCCGATCCTGTTTCCTTCCCTTCCCAGAGATGCTCACAATTTGGTGCTTATTGTCCCATATAGATTTTTATAGATATTATTTACCTGTTTTTAAATTTTATATAAATATTATACAGTAAGTCATTCTATACATTTCTAATTTTTTACTCAGTAATTTTATTTTTGCAATTTATCTCTATTATTCACCTGAGGGTCCAGTTCATCTTAATGTATAGTATTCATACACACACATATATAAAATCACAATTTATCCTGTTGATGGACATGTAAGTCGTTTGCAGTTTATCACTAGTGGTCTTTTCCCCCATGATTTATAATGCCACCTCAGTCAGACATCAAACTTCCCTGCATGCCTGGATATGTTTGGGGATTTTCTATTCTAGTCTAATGATCTGTTATCTATGTGGCTATCTTTTCATGAAAATAAATCATTATAGCATAAAGGTTAAAAAGTGCTGACAGACCTGGGTTCAAATTCTATCTCAGCCTCTTACAAAGCCTAAATTTCTTAATCTGCAAAACAGTACCTACCTTATTGATTTATGAGAATGGGATTAAACTATCCTTGTAAAGAGTACTTAGCACAGGGCCTGGTAAATAGCAAAAGCTCAATGAATGCTGGTTATTAATAATATGATGTTTAATGATATTCCATTGTATGTATGGACTGGACCATAAATTATTTAATCAAATCTCCTATTTTAGAAACAGGATATTTCAAATTTTTGCTATATTATTGTAAGGATTAAATGAGATAATACATGTAGAGTGCTTGAGAGGTTGCCTCATAAAACTCAATAAAAGTTAGTGTTAATGATGATTAATAAAAACCGTTGTATGTATTCTTACTTATTTCCTTAGGATAAACTCCTTGGAGAGAATTGCTGGGTTTTTGAGTATGTGTTTCAAGGCCTTTGATACAGATTACAATGATCTTTCTAAAACAGAAATCTGTTGATGACACTTCCATGCTTAAATCCTTCTGTGATCCCCATGCTTATGGGAAAAGGCCCATACAAAGCTCTCCTTGATCTAGCTGGCCTCTGCCTGCCTACTTCTTAAACCTCATCTTTCCCCACAGCTCTGCTCACAACCTAGACATCTGCCATTCTAAACTAAATTATAGTTGTTGATCTTTTGCACATAAAGACCTGTCTCCTTGTTTTGGGAAAACTTGATGTTTTTCCCACCTAGGATGTTCCACCTCTTCCCCCAAATCAAAACTTATCTTAGGGCCGGCCCCATGGCTTAGTGGTTAAGTGCGCGCGCTCCACTACTGGAGACCCGGGTTCGGATCCCGGGCGCGCACCGACGCACCACTTCTCCGGCCATGCTGAGGCCGCATCCCACATACAGCAACTAGAAGGGTGTGCAGCTGTGACACACAACTATCTACTGGGGCTTTGGGGGAATAAAAGGAGGAGGATTGGCAATAGATGTTAGCTCAGAGCCGGTCTTCCTCAGCAAAAAGAGGAGGATTGGCATGGATGTTAGCTCAGGGCTGATCTTCCTCACAAAAAAAAAAAAACTTATCTTAGGTCTCACTTCTGCCAAGAAAGCTGCGTTGTTCCTCCCTCCCTCCCTCCTGTCCGGGTTAGGCAAGCCCCTGATGTGCTCTCATAGTTTGCCGTGCACGTCGCTTTAGAGCACTTATCCATCCTGTAGTGAAATATGTTATTGTTTGTCCTGTGTGCTAAGCTGTAAGCTTTTGGAGGGCAAGGACAGCGTCATACAGTTTTTGTGCTTGGCATAAATAGTTGGTGCTGAATAAATGTTGGTTGGATGGATGGATGATGAATAACAAGGATCAGTGAATATATTCCCTTGACTGCAGGAGAGTAGTCATTGAGCCACAAACATACCTTTTCCTACTTCTTCCCAGGACCACACTCTCCCTGCCCCACTCATGAATCCCAGAAATGCTTGATTTAACTAGGTTTTAATTAGACTCTTGATTGTGAGAAACTGAGATGTACTCAGTTAAGTAAAGGGAGTTTCGTGATAAAGATTCACACAAAGCCTAAGAGGGTTAGAGTTTTCTGGAAATCCAAGAACAAATAAGAATAAATAGGGCTGGTCTAGATGCACATTGGAGCCCAAGGTGGTGCTAGGTGAATTGAGGGACTCCGGGCCGGGAATTCTTGAGTCTTTGCTCAGTGCCTCACCACTGATGTGACTGGGCTCTTCTTCCCCTGCCTGTGTTAGTCCCACTGTCTACTATATCATCTCTACCTTGTACCTCCCACGTGCTCCCTGGGTTCTGCTTCCTGGCAATCTTGGCTCCCCTGATCCCCATGGCCACTTCCGTCCCTCATGATATCTTTTCAGCTCATCACCCACTTGTTGTACTGACATTTCTTAGTTCACGTTCTTCAGGAAGGATGGCATCTTTTCAAGCCAGATCACATCTTAGTCTACTAGTCAGCCTGTGCATTGCCCACCTGTGGCCTAATCAATGTGGCTCCAGGAGGCAGACGCAGGGTCACATGGAACAAATCGTGGCTGCCCAAGGGCCATTCCTTTAGCACAGGGTATTGCTGTGCATGGGGTATTTTTCCTTTAAAGAGGCTAAAGGTATTTACTTGACATGACCTGTCCATGTAGCCATTTATAAAATTTCTTATGCTTTTTGTCTAGTAATCATTTAGGGCAATATTGAATGTGAATTTGTAAATACAGTATGAGCCTTAATAAGTTCTTGACTCCCAGGAGGAGAACTTTGTCTTTATGATCACGGTAAAACAACCACCACGTTGTTTTTAGAATAGCAACGTCCACAGCCTTTCCATCCAGTTCTGGGATGGGGTGGACTTGCTCCTGGTCTTGCTTTCTTTTGCTTTCCCTTTTTGTAGGGTATTGAGAATGAAGGCGGGTACATAACTTTCTGGTATGCAGAGATTTCTTGCGTCATGGGTCAGAAAACGACAAAACAAGACTGGTCTTTCTCATCCCATACCTCTGCCCTATCAGGACTCTGCCCTTTTCTACACGGAGAGCTGCAGGAGGGAATGGCTGCTCTGTCTCCGCCTGCCAGATGCCAGGTGAGGTGGACTTTTATGTTTCTGAAATACTCTGTCTCCAGAATGTAACCACTTTTCTCTCCCTATCCTAGAGCTTCTTTGATCTGACCCCACTAGGTGGATGAAGGACTCCATAGGGAGTGCTTCCTTCCCATTTGACTTATGGTATCCTTCAGGGATCTTTTCTTACCTTGAACATGTGCCCACCAGCCTGTCACCAGGCACAGTCCCTGTGGCCTTCACTCTGAGTGATTTTGCCTAAAACCCAATGGTGTGGGTCTGATTGGAAGGTTTGGGGAACAGCAGGCTGGTCCAGTCCTGACTTCCCTGTAGTACATCCATGTGTGGACTGAGAGTGGGCCCCCATATCTCAGGGAGTGTTGGGTTAGTCAGGGGCATGTGACACCTACTGTAAGCACCTCAGTGAAGTTGAAAGAGTCCTGCAGAGAGTTTGTGCGGGTAGAGACACGTGGCTTGCCCCGTTCCTGCCCAAGGACAGAGAGTCTTGAATTCCATGCTCTGGCTTAGAACTTCTGCGGATACACTGGGGGTTTTAGGATTGGGGGTAAAGATACAATCTTATAGAATCACAGAGCATCAGAGTGAAATGAGAGGGATCCTAAAGATGATCTAATCATCATTATTTTAAGGATTTGTAAAAAAAAAAAAAAAAAAGACAGTTGGTGAAATTGGAATAATGTAGGTTAGATAACAGTATAATATCAATGCTATTTTGATTTTCATAATTATACTTTGATTATATAAGAGAATAGCCTTGTTTTTACAAAATATACACTGAAATATTTATGAGTAAAGGGACATCATGTTTGCAAGTTACTGTCACGTTCAGGAGAAAGATAGGAGAATGTATATATACAGAGAGAGACAGACAGATAAAGCAAATGTGGAAAATGTTAACGTTTGGGGAAGCTGGGTAAAGGGTACACAGGAATTCTCCGTTCTATTCTTGCAAGTTTTCTGGAAATCTGACAAAAGAGCCCCTGCTCTTCAGAGGCTCAGCTATGAATATAGTGGTGTGGGGTTATGACCAAGAACTTCATGCCTCGTGGATTATGCCACTTTCCCCAAGTGCTTCAAAGCCCTACTTTGTCAGAACCATTTCTGTTCTACTCCCTCTACATCCTCGAAGACTTTCATCTTTATGACAATTTTGTCTGGTCCGTGTACAGAGAAGGGTTATGAGTAAGGGAAATTTGATTGTGTTTCCAGGAATCAGTGACGTTCGAGGATGTGGCCGTGATTTTCACAGACGAAGAGTGGAAACATCTGGTCCCTATTCAGAGGGACCTCTACAAGGAGGTGATGCTGGAGAACTATAAGAGCATTGTCTCATTGGGTAAGGAGAGCTTCCCATAAGGAGTGAGACTCTATACTGTGTTAATGTGGGGTTGAGGGGCTAATAACGATACCTCTTCTCCTCCCCGCTGAGTTCTGAACCACTGAGAGACAAAACAGAAGAGTAGGACATCTCTTAGGTGTACAGCCACAGTGGGCTTCTTAATCCCGAGCCCCAGCATAGGACAGACTTGCTCCCTGAGCCGTAAGCAGGCTGGGCAACCACAGGCTCCCTCACTCAGCAGCCTCCCCCCCGTAACACGGAGGGCCAGGGCCGGAGGAGCAGAGCAGGATGTGTGCCTGCTGCAGGAGCTGGCTCTCCAGAGGGAGTGTGAACAGAAGAGGATGAGTTACACATGCCCAATTCTTCCCCCAACTCACCAGTCAGGTAACTTTCTCAGCTCCCTCCGGAGGACAAAGGTGGGGGGTGGGGGGAGGTGGGGGGGACAAGTGAAGAAGTGTTTCTCTTTAAAAAGAGGGCAGTGTGGGAGTGGGAATACAAGGTTGTACCTCAGAGTAGGTCAATAGAAATGTGTTTTATTTTGAATATTTGTCTTAAGTACAGTCTTAGAGAGATGCTCAAAGAAGGCGCTTTGCAATTATAGAGACTTATGTGACAAAAGGAAAATTAAGAGCTACTGCTGATGTCAGGTATTTGTGAGAAGTAAAATTGGGCTCCTGTAGGTAATGAGAACCTCTCAGGAGCTTCCAGAACAAGAAGCTGAGAGAATGTACAGATTCAGAAACAGGCTTAAAATAAGCAGCATGTGACAGTAAAAGGAGTCACATTGCAGATTTCATGCAAGGCAGGTCAAAAAAGCAAGCATAACACCCCCTGGATTAGCTTAAACAGGCCAAATATGGAAAACAGAATAGAATGCTCAGGAAGCATTAAGGGAGACTGCTGAGCCTTTGTCATGGGCTTTGGCAGGATGAAATATTGGGGAAGATGGAATTCTGAAGGTCAGAGACAGGAAGCCACAGGGAGGTGATGGGTGTGGACGTTTTGTCGGCAGAGAACCAACATACAACTGGATAGATGATCCTTGGGTCCAACAAGAAAGTGCTTCTGTCTCAAGTCTGGGGTCCCAGTTCAAGGAAGGTTAGACCTCAAGACTGTTTCTAGGAGGGGATCCATTTTTTAATATAACCAAAAGTGGACAGATTCACTTCTAGAAATTCGTCCTAAGGAAATAATGAGATTAGCAGTCTGTGGTGTTCACAAATGGTCATCATACAGTTGTTTGTTAATAGCGAAACCTTAAAAGCAGTCTGAAATGTCTGTCAGCAGGAGATTAGTTAAATAAATTATGTTATTCCATGCAATGTAATATCATATAGCCATTAAAATGGTGAGGGGGATCTTTGCTAATTGAAATACAATAATATTTGAAATTTATTATTATGTGAAAAAATCAAGTTTACAAATCAGCGTTATTTCATTTTCCAGTTGTTTTGAGTTTTTCTTTTTTTTTGCTTTTTTAGTGAGAATCTTCTGCCCAAAATGATCTTTTACATGTAAAAGGGACCGGAGTGATATGTAGTATATACATAGTGAATCAGACGGATTTAGAGATTATCTTCTTGTGGATGTCAAAAGAAATAGAAATTATTTTAGATGGGGTAGTCATAATTATTTTCCAAATAAGGCTCTCCGATAGTTTATTTATTTATTTTTAAATTGAGATATAATTGTCATTATCCAGTTTTTAACAGAATGTACCTACTGGTATCTTTCAGTATCAAAATGAATAGAAAAAAAAGAAAAAAATGAATACAAAGTACAAAAGGTTATTTTTTTTTTTTTACTTGTACATACCCCTAATTTTCCTACAATGAACATGATCCACTTGTTTAAATAAAAGCATAATACTAAACAGTAAACAAACGAAAATGGGCACCTTCATGACACGTTTTTACTCACGGTGATCTTTTCTCATTCTCTTCTTCCCTGAGCCAAGGACTCTTCCCCCCATCCTACCAGTGCTAAAGCAAGAAGCATCCCATTCACTTCATGAGGAAGAATAAACACATTAATTCAAATGGATTTTATCAACTTTCTGACCAAATGCTACTTGTTCCTTTTTATTTTTTTATTTTATTTGTTTATTTTTTTGTGAGGAAGATCAGCTCTGTGCTAACATCTGCCAATCCTCCTCTTTTCTTGCTGAGGAAGATTGGCCCTGGGCTAACATCCGTGCCCATCTTCCTCCACTTTATATGGACGCAGCCACAGCATGGCTTGCCAAGCGGTGCTTCGGTGCATGACCGGGATCTGAACTGGCGAACCCTGGGCCACCGCAGCGGAGCACGCACACTTAACCGCTTGTGCCAGCAGGCTGGCCCCTACTTGTTCCTTTTTAGAAGCTCAGTTTTGACCTCTTTTCAGAGGCTCCTGCATTCTTTCGCATTACTTTGTACTCTGCGTTCCTGGTGTGCATTTTCCGCCTTTTGCATTTTCTCTCTGAAACGCTTAGAGACTGGGACTAAGCTTTGGAATAGTTGTGTATTTTCATCACATATGGTTTGTTTATTTCTCTGTGAGCAGGACTTCCAGTTCCTCAACCTGATGTGATTTTTCAGTTGAAGAGAGGGGATGAGCCTTGGATAGTTGATCTTCGTGGAGCTGAGGAGAGAGAATGTCCAGAGAATGTCTCTCTAGGTAATTGAGTATGAACAGAGCAGGGCAGAGTTTTGTTGTGTTATGGTTATTATTTGGGTGTGCGTGGGAGGGAGTGTTGGGTATCACCTTTTTCTCAAATAGAGATCTTCTGCTTTAGGGTTTCTTACTATCACCCAGCAGCTTTCATTTTTTTCCTCTACACCTTAAAGTATTATTCATCTTTATCCATGAAATGTTTATTTTCTCAGATCTGTCACGTTGCCCAGTCACACTTTGATAGTCCTATTCCTCACCATCCCCTCCACTTAGCATACTCACCTAATTACCATGGCCATGCTTCCAATGGAAATTCTCCTCTTTTCTGAGATGTCTACCATCAGTTTTATTCCCTGCCTTCTTCATTCCCAAGTCTTGGTCTTTCCCTAGAGTGTAAGACTGTTTGTGGGAGCAAGCAATGCAGTGACCATACAGGACTTCTCAGATTTATCATAGTATCTCTTCTTTCTGCTATAATATTTGCTAGCCCAGGAAAGAAACTGCATCTGTATTTTCTATCCATTCCAGACTGGGAGACTAAGCCTGAGATTCAGGGTGCTTCAGAAGAAGAAAAAACAGAAGGAACGTTGAGGGAAAAGCTTGAAAGAAAAAGTCCTCTGTGTCCTACGTTTGAAGTTCATGCACTGGAGAGGAGGTTGGAAACAGAGAAGGAAAGCCTTGCAGTGGAGATCTACAAGAAATCTGTCTCCCAGGAGGAGAGCTTGCAGCAAGGGTCAGCCCCTCCCAAGAAAATTCTCACTAAAGAGAGAGACCAAGAATGCAGTGACTGTGGGAAGACCTTTTTTGATCACTCATCCCTTATCCGCCATCAGAGGACTCACACTGGAGAGAAGCCCTATGACTGTCACGAGTGCGGGAAAGCCTTCAGTCACAGGAGCAGTCTCAGTAGACATCTGATGTCTCACACTGGGGAGAGCCCCTACGAATGCAACGCATGTGGGAAAGCCTTTTTCGACCGTTCGTCCCTAACTGTACATCAGCGAATTCATACCGGAGAAAAGCCCTTTAAATGCAATGAGTGTGGAAAAGCCTTCTTTGACCGTTCGTCCCTTACTCGACACCAGAGAATTCATACTGGAGAAAGTCCTTATGAGTGTAATCAATGTGGGAAAGCCTTTAGCCAGAAAAGTATTCTTACTCGACATCAGCTAATCCATACTGGCAGGAAGCCTTATGAATGTAATGAGTGTGGGAAAGCCTTCTATGGGGTCTCATCACTGAATAGACATCAAAAGGCTCACGCTGGAGAGCCTCGCTATCAATGCAATGAGTGTGGGAAAGCTTTCTTTGACCGCTCGTCCCTTACACAGCATCAGAAGATTCACACTGGAGACAAGCCATATGAATGCAGTGAATGTGGGAAAGCCTTTAGCCAGAGATGCCGGCTCACACGACATCAGAGAGTCCATACAGGAGAGAAACCCTTTGAATGCAGCGTGTGTGGAAAAGTTTTCAGTTCCAAGTCGTCAGTTATTCAACATCAACGGCGTTACGCCAAACAGGGTATAGACTGAGTCGGGTGAAAGCTTTAGTCAAGGAACCTCCATAAAAACTCAAGATAGGTCTTCCCCATCTTAAACAAAACCATCATTTGATCATTCTGCCTATTCTGGCTGCTATTTCTTTCCTGCCTCTGCTACCACAGTGTTTGAATAAACACTCTCTACTTACTATGTTATAGAACTGATGTGGGATGCTGGCAATTAGGATGCAACTCTAAAGAGTCAACGTTTTGCAGAAGTTCATCAGAAAATAGGATAAATGTCAGGAGGCGATCCTCAGGCACACCTCTTGTCTGAGGTCCATGTATCACTGCACTTTAAATAACCAGAGGCTACAACAGGAGGGGAAAGGCAAAATTAGAGCAGTAATGTTGTTTCCAGAACAGCTTGTAGGTCTCTTAATACTACCACTACCACTAGTAGCTAGCACTTATTGAGGCTTATTATGGGGTAAGCACTCAACTGAGAGTTTTGCAAAGAGTAGGTTATTTGGTCCTCTCACCAACACTATGAAGTAAGTACTGTTACTATCCTCACTTTACAGATGTGCAAACTGAAGTTTAGAGGGGTTACATAATTTGCCAAAGCTGGCACAGCTAGTAAAAGGTGAAGCCAAGTCTTGAATACAGGTCTGCTTTCAAAGTCTCTTCTCTTTACCATTATGCTATAAGGTTTGTTTTATAATTTATGTAGATGTATTATCTCCTCAACTAGATTGTAAGCACTTGGAGGCGTGACTTTTATGTCTTTGTATCTCACACAGTGCCTTGCAAATAATAGGTGCTCAATAAATACTTATCTGAATTAATGACTTTTCTACTTCCAAAGTTCTCTCTATTTAAAACACTTCTTGAATTCACATCCTTTCTCTGAATTTTCACAGTCTAGCCTATACCTTTATCACTTCCTGATGGAAATTCTTCCCTCTTCATTGTTGAAGAAGGGTATGCTAAGCTAGGGTGCCATAACAAGTTAACTCCCAAGTACACAAAGACTCATTTCGCACATAAAATCTGGCGTGAGTCAGTCTGTCTTATTCCACCCTTGTCATTTAGAACGTGTTGCCTCTGAGATCATTATGAAAGAGAAAGCTGGAGGATATTTGGGGATGTTTTTAAAGGCCGTTACTTCTGTCCACAACTCATAAACCAGAACCCAGCACCAAGAGGCTAGGAAAGTAAACAAGTACCTTGATGTTTGGTTAACATTAACAGCCTCTGTCACAAGTTACATTTTGCATGTTACTGTTAGACCAATCTTTCCAAATGACCCCTTACTGCCCATCATTGCCTTACTCAAGACCTAAAATAGCTCCCTGTTTAATGAAAGCTTCTCTGAATATTTAAGGTCTGCCTTGATGTGATCCCACATTGCTAAACCTTAAGTTCTCACTCCCAAAACTCTTCTATTCCCTGGGCCCAGCCCTGTATTTTTGTTTTATTAAAGGTCAGGCACTAGGCAACTTTGACTCTAAGCATCTGCATTCCCTTTCTATTTGCTTAAGGTGAAATCTAGAGGAGGAATTGATTCTGGAAGGATGTCTGGAACTTAGCTCACCCTGCATGAATCCCAGTGGACCAAGATGCATTTCTCCTGGGAGTTAAAGTCAGATTCAAGAAGCTGAATTGCCAAACAGGCCCCTCCCCAACCTACCAACAACCCTATTGGTCTACCCTTCTTAGAGCAGATGAGCCGAAGGAAAGACTTTTCCCATGTGCACTTGTGAAGCAACTTGAGGAAAAACACAGAGTGCAGAATCTATTGGAGTGGATAATATCTGATTATTTAACTATGTCAAGTAGAAAATAAAAGAGACTATTGACAAACTTGGCTGATGACTGTCTCTGAGAGTTCTGAATCTTTAATGTACTGCCTTGTTAAAGGTAAACTGAAGATCAAGTATTTCCCTAAGATGTTCTGCCATTGTCAGCAAGATGAGACTAGAACTAATTCAGAATTCTAATGGACCTTTGAGTAGAGGATGATTGAAACAGAGTGGGGACATAAATTCCATAGTTCTTCTTCTGTTCCCTGTTTAAACTTGGTGATCTGCAGAGCATTTTTTTAAAATGTGAAGTACTGTTGCTTCTCCTGCTAAAAATTCTGAGCAAAGGGCCATTTTACCTTTTAACTGGTGTCTTCCAATAGGGCATGCAGTAGTGGAGGCCTTAAATTTTGAGGTTTTAGCTTCACCGAATGACCATTAGTAGGGTCAAATCTTGGAATCAGAAATGGGTCAAATTGGAAGTATGCCAGCATTCTTAAGATATAAGGTGAAAAACTTGGTAGTGTTTGTAGGGTTTTAGCCTAAGACTTTAAAAGTGGTTTTGAAGAAATGAAACAATCTCTGGTGCTTAAATAAGCCCTATCTGAGTTTTAAGAGAGAATTGAATACTTCCACGCAAATTAACAGAAGGACTCCGTGAATCAACTCTTCAAAGAAAAGGATCAGCAATGCTAGGGAACCTTGAGATGAAGAGAATGTGGTAAATAGAGAAAATCGGCACACTGAAGCCTGGGACAGAGAGCTGGTGGGACTGCCAATCCAAGAAATTTATCTTGGGTGTCAGGATGCCAGGATGGCCAGCAGGAGTCTAGCCAGCTTCTGAGCTCTGCTGCACCCACCCCCTTACTCTTCCTCAGGCCTGTGCTTCTAAGAATAAATTAACCCCCAAGTCTTAAATTAGACAGAGGTGAAGGCAGAGCTGGGGAGCAAGGTGACCAGGTGCCAGTCATCAGACAACATATTGAAAAAGCCAGAAGGATGATTCCTCAGGAAGTCCAAGAGAAAGACTGCAGTGGGTGTCAAGTTCCTTAGTGGTCTACGTTATTGAGGCAGGACTCCAGTGGTAAAAAGGCAGAAAGAAGTCAAAGGGGACCGTGTTGAGTTGGGATGATGGGGATCCTAGTGAGGGTAGTTCTGTGAATATGTATTTACAAGAGCCTGAATGTACTGCAGAAATGTCTATATTAGCTTATATTGATAGCAGAAGCATGAGGAACCGATGTGGGGTATAAGGACACACATCTGGTCCTGGAAAACTGCAGCACCTTTTCCCTTCAGAACCACTAAGTACCAGGTCAGTTTGGAGGGACCCTAAGCCCTATGTTGGAGTCTAGGTATTTTGGATCAGTGCTGCCCAATAGAAATATAATGCTAGCCATATTTTTAAAATGAAACAGTTGAAATTAATTTTAACATTTCATTCAGTATTTGAATTTCTTTCAAATATTTTAAAAATTTCATTCAATATCATTTCAACACATAATCAATATAAAATTATTGAGATATCTTTTTTTAACTAAATCTTTGAGTACACTTACAGCACATCTCAAATTTGGACTAGCCATATTTCAGGTGTGCAATAGCACACGTGGCTAGTGGCTACTGTATTGTACAGCACAGTTTTGTATAATCATCAGGAGCTTTTAGAGGTAAAATGTAAAGGGGTTATTTTGATCATTGGAGATGGAGGGATGCTTGCTCCTGGCCATGTGGCAAGCACACTGCACCTGCAGCGGGCAGTCTTCTGCTTGCAGTAGGACATGTGTCTGGGGGGGGTCCAGGCCTGGGAAGCCTGTTGTCACCATCTCTCAGACATGTTTTTCAACAGCTCTCAAAACAGCTGTTTTGATCTCTGTGTGCCTGACTCCTTTGTTCTCTCTGAGTTGGATCAGAACTCAAGTGGGGAAGAGATGTTGCTTAATGAATCTCTAACAACCCAACAGAGATATAGAGGAGAAAGTATCTAAGGTTGCCAGTTAGTGAAAGTTAAAGGTACTTCATGTGATCATTTCACCTCTTTCTGAGCAGGATATAAGTATCTGTTTATTACGGTTCTGGAGGGAGGAGGATGCTCTATTAGACTGGGCAAAGTATGAGTGAGTGCTGGCAATGAATGTGCCCAGTAGAAACCCCTGGAGCTCCCCCACCACTCCAAAGTTGTAAATGTAAAACAGTGAGGAAAATTGCAGCCATGCTGGTAAAGTCGATGGACCTGGGAGTGATTTGTCCCACCATTTCCTTTCTGATTCCTAGGTTTGGCTGGTCAAAAAGCTAGATCCTGGAAGTTAATGATTATTGATATTACAGAAAAGTTAATGAAATAGTGTCAACTGTTGATAGTTCTGTGCTTCACCTTGTTTCAATATTGAAAGACAGTTGTAAGTCACCCCTTGACTGGTATGCTGCCATCGATCTAGCTAACACATTCTTGTCTATACCCATTAAATTGATCCACTAATGGCAGGGTAAATTTAACTTCACTTAACATACTAGCAATTTGCTTTTATTGTCCTACCACTGAGCTATTGGAATTTTTTGCCTTATAATCTGATAAAGCAAGATTTAAATAATTAAAATACTGAAGTTACTTATTACATTAGTGATAATAAGTTTCTGTAAAAAAGAGAAGGAGAAAAAGCCAATACAAGAGTATGCAATCAAGTTGCTCACTGCTGTGGGCAACTAAGGCTCAAGCCCACTGGTACCTGGGGTGTTATGTTGAATGAGCCTCAGAATTGTCTGCCCTTGATATGGAAGTGGGGAGCGTTTATCTACCAGTTCCCATCCCCCGTTGGTTAAGCGTTGCTGCACGAACACCAAGGGTTCCTATAGTCATCCCTTGTTGCCAAGTCAGAGAAACTCCAGAGAAGAAAGAGAGAAGTACGGGGTACAACTAAGGTGAGGTGTTATCTGATTATATCTCTGCAAAAGTGACTGTTGCAGCATGGCTGGCATGAAATTCAGGCCAAGGGAGTATGAGGCAGTGCACCCAAGGTGTCCAAGGTGAGGGCAGAGAGAGACTTCACTTGAATATAATGAGCTTGAGATGCTTGTGAAATATCCAAACATATGTGGCAATGTTCTGTAGGCAGACTGACGCTGAAAAGAGTGTTCTCAGATACGTAGATGCTCTCTGAAACCATGTGAGTGGAGGCAAATTGCTCATGAAGAAGGTATAGCACAGGAAGAGACCAGAGTCTAGGACAGGTCCTTGAGGAACACCAAGATTCAAAGGGTATGAAGAGAAGAAGAGCCCATAAAAGCAGAGTGAATAGAAGGGGATAGAGAGGTGAAAGAAACAGTAGATTACAGCAGTGTCATAGAAGTCAAGAGAAAAGACTTTCAGGAAGGGGAAAAAGCATTCAATGTTCCCAAGTGGTCGAGAAGGACAAAGCGTCCACTGGCGTTTGTCAGTAACTTGGATGGTGGCGGCAAAGCCATGTTGGAATGACCTTGGTTAAGGAATGAGCAGGAAGTGTAAGGTGGAAACAGCAAGTATCCATAATGCTGCTGCGTAGTTTGCCTTTGATAAGGACAGATAGAGAATGGCACATGGAGGAAGATGTGAGACTGAGGGAAGATTTCTTTTAAAATGTTAGAGATGTGAACATTTATCAGAACGCCTTCAGGTATAGGAGACAGAAAACGCTTCCCCAACTTGCTTAAGCCTAAAAAGGCTTGATTGACTGAAAAAATTGCAAAGCCCAGGCGTAGCTCTGTTTATTGTTACAATTAGAGACGGCAGAAAGAATGGATGTGAAGAGAGGCAAATTTGTAGATTTGATTACAAGCAAGTATGGGAATTCTCTCTGATGCTTGTTCTCCACGCCCTCACCCCCCCACCCCCACACCCCTCACCAAGTGAGGGAGAAGATAAAGTAGCAGGTGCCTTAGGACGGTAGAGAAAGTTTTAAAATATCCCCCTGGAGAAATGGATAGAAAGCTGCCTAGGAAACAAAGGCATCCGCGGTAGGGTAGCGGGTCCAGCTGGGACAGGCGAACAGGGCTAGGAGACAGCTTTGCTTCTTCACTCGGC